CTATCCATCTTTTATTCTGTCATTCTCATGATACATTAATTTGCTGTATATAAGTATATATTGTTTGTTTGTTAGATCATCCACGTTATGGCAATGACAAATACTAGTACTGGAACTTTGATTGTCCCTCAACTTCTAAAAAGGGGCAATTATAAGAGTTGGAGCATTTTCATGGAAGACTATCTGATTTCTCAAGAGCTTTGGGACGGTATTATTGTTCCATTCAGCGCCGATCAACAGCTGCCTAGCGAATCTGATGAGTGGAGAAAAAGGAATGCTGCCGCTCTTAACGCCATCAAGATTTCGTGCGGCCCAGAAAGCTTTGTTCGTATAAAGTATACTCGTTTAGCAAAAGATGCTTTGCATATGTTAGCCGAAATGCATAAAACAGAACCTGAAACTGATGAAAGCACTCCAAAGGCAAGCAATTCTCCGCTTCGGGTGGCAACTAGGATTGTGCCCGGACTTCTAGAAAGAGGCAACCTAATAAAGAATTCAGGTTTGCCACTTCTCTATCGATATGATATCATACGTTTTAGATTGCATTTGATTTAAATAAATTGAGCAAAAGATGTGGAATTTCATTTACATGCAATTCTATTCTCTTTTGCTTGGTACTATTATAATGTGTAAAATTCAATTTCAAACCTTTAAATCATGGAATTAGTTAGGTCTAATATAACTCTAATTAATTTCACTTCAGAACATGAAGAAGAAGAAGAAGATAAAGAAACTCCAAAGGTAAGATTAGCATTTTTTTCCTTTTGAGCTCCCCCCTTCTTCGTGATGTTTGGCTTTCAAACTGGCGGCTTGTCATTCTGATAATAATTTGTTGATATGCGGGGTTAGATTAATTCTGCAAGTATGATTGTCCCTGAACTTCTAGCAAGTGATAATTATAAGAGATGGAGCATCTGTATGACAAGCTATTTAGTTTTTCAAGATCTTTGGGATGCTGTTCTATACGATAGGGCGCCAGCTGGAGTTGATACAAAGGAGTGGATTAAAAAGGGTGCTGCCGCTTTGCATGCAATTCAGATTTCATGTACACCAAAAAAATTTGATGAAATTGAGGAAATCACTTCCGCCAAAATTGCTTGGAATACCTTGAAGGACAAACATATGGAAGATGGTGCTCCCTCTGATTTTCTTACTCGGTTGGAAGAGCGAGGTTTGTCACCTCTCATTTTCTCTCATCACTGGTTTTTGCAGTGTGTTTTGGATTTTACTACAACGGTTTTTTCTGTTATAGTCCCCTTAAGATGCACTTAATGCATTTTTTTTCCCTTTAAATTCTTCGTATTAAAAGTAACTTCAAGGTCATGTTTAGTTAAGGTGGTAAACATTTCCCCTTACTTTTTCCTTAGATTTTTTAGGGCTAATTTAGCATGTTTGGTTAAGGTGGGAACTTGTCTCTCTTTGTTCTCTTGACATAGACAACTCATTGTATATGCTCTTTATTTCTTGATTTTAATTATCTATTTTACTCCTTCTAGTTAGATTTAGTTGTCATAGTTTGAGTTTTACATGTAGTTTGATTCAATGATTTTATATAATAAATAAATGATAATTAGAACTTTTTTTATTTAAGTGAAAATACTCAATAAGTACTATGTATAGAAAGAAAATTTTTTTAATTATCATCTATTTAATTGCTGTAGTATATAAAATCATTTAGTCAAACTTTATATAAAAGTTAAACTGAAACAACAAAATTTGATTGGATGGAGCATTTCCAAAATTGTCCTCAAAATTTTTAATCTAGAAAAAAAAAAAGAAAAAATGATAATTTCTTGAAAAGGGGGAGTATTATTAGTCAATTACTCCCTCCTAGACCAAATTCTTAGTTTGAGGTGTTCTAATTTGGTTGTTTATTTTTTAGAATGTTATTTAATATTTTTATTTCTATTTTACTTTTATTTTAAGAAGATATAATTATAAAATATATTAAATAAGAAATCTCATTTGAATAGTGATTAATTACTCATTTAAAAAATAGTAATTAATTAAGCATAAATATAAAATTTTATTAATTAATTATTACATTCTTATTTTATTAAGAAAACACCAAGTTTACTCAAGTTAAATGGATGGAGTAAAAAAAAATAAAAATACAGTAAATACTTATTTTTTTTTATCAGCAAAATAAAATATTTATTAAAATTAGAGTACAGGATACTCTACTGAAAATACAGTAAATGCTTATCTTTTCTTGCAGAACTAATGCATGTCATTATTGCAATTTAATACATGTACTGATATACCATATTAATCTTGATAGAAATTGGAAATGATCTCCTACAATATTTTTATCAGAAAAAATATTAATTTATTTTAGACTATACACTATTAAATTAAATGTAACGTTACTATAATACATCTTTTTTTTTTTCAATAAAATACATACGTCAAATGTGGTTAATCATAATATATATTGCCTCAAAATCATTTAAATTTTTTATTTTTATCAGTAAAAAGAACAAATTTTATTAAGGGACAGGGGGTATTCTCCAACCCCTTTTCAATCAAACTTAATCACATAATATCTACTTTAATTGAATCCTTGCAGGGTTCCAAACTATGGAAAGGGCTCAGTCCCTAGTTATGCAGAATGTAATTGACGAAGGGGACGATGTTGGTGCTGTAATGGACATTTTTAAGAGAAATCCAGGGGCAGAAAATTTGGGATTTTGGACGGGTTACCCTATTCTTCATTACGCAACTATTGTTGGCAAGTTAAACATTGTCAAGGCATTGTTTGAGAGAACGCCTGCAGTGCAAAAGGATCCATGGGGTAGGACAGCTCTAACAACTGCTGCTAAGGTTGGAAACATCGAAATTGCAAAATATTTAGTTAGCAAGGATTCTTCTTTGCTTTCTGTGGTAGATGAGTATCAAGATATCCCGGTTGTAACGGCATGTAGCCAAGGGCATAAGGATGTGACAAACTTTCTCTATTCTGAAACTCCGTTCGAAATCCTATTACGCGAAAACGGAAAACTGGGATCTAAATTACTTCTCTGCTGTTCTAGATCCGAAAGATTTGGTAAGAGCATACGAAGTTTACCTACGCAAAATGAAATTTTATACTGTAATTAAACATATAAATGACACCATTTTTAATATATGACTTTAATGTGTGTAGATATCATGTTCGATGTACTTCACCATGGTCAAAGTTTAATTGATGAAAATTGGACGGATCTTTTGGATGGATTCGCCAGAACACCAACAGCATTCAGCAGTGGAAGTGGACTACCATTTTGGCAACGATGGATCTATAAGTGTGAGTATCGTTTATTCTTTCGTTTAATTACTTCCATCGATCCCCACTTTTGTCTCTTTTATTTCTTTCTTTCATAAATTTGATTTTTTTTTTTTCATAAATTTGATTTTTTTTTTGTTGGTAATCTCATAAAATAATTAATCAGAAATGATTTTCTAATAACCAATTATGCTACATGTTAATGTATGCAGCATGCTTTTTTTTTTAGTTTCCTTTCTCTTAGATAATCCAATTGCTTTTCTTGAGTGATTAATTTAATCTTAATATTAATTATTGTTGTCAAAAGGTTTAAAGGTGCACATACCTAGCAATTTTGCTGTTGTTACTATTAATCAGAAAGGGAAAAAATTTGAAGAGATACCATTGCCAGGTATGTTCTACTTCCTCTCCCTCTATATATAATGAAAAACAAGATCAACTCTACCCATATACAACCATTATCTATATTTTAATTACCTACACCACTCCATCTCAATGGATGCCATTGAATATATATGGTGTTGTTTCTTGTTAAACTAATGTTGTTTCCGTATTAATTTGTTAATAAGGAGTCAGGTTATTCACAATATAATATTGATCTGATCAAAAAATTTTGAAATTATTAAGATATGTTGAATTTTTTCCATTTTCTTATTATTATTATTTTGGTTATTAGGTCAACTATGGAGATTGGCTTCATTCCTTCTTCCATTCTTAGGTATAACACAATCAATTTTTTTTTTTGTCCGATTAACACAATCAAGTTTTTAATTTATCTTTTACTTCTATGCTTATGCTTTATTTTTATTCTTAATTTAGGCATAAAGAAAATGCATGATTTAAAGTTGAGTCATGGCTTCACCCGTGAGAGTCTACGTTTGATCTGTCAGCACTTGACAAAATTAAATTTGACGAAGTTGGAGGACCAAACTGCACTAAGGAAAGCACTCAGAAGCGCGATTGAGAATGGCATTGATGAATTTTTAAGTCAAATGGTCAAAACTAATCCAGACTTACTTCTTGCACCGGTACCGGCACAGGATGAGACTGCGAGTGCAAACTTTCTCATGGATGCTATTGCATTTCGTCAGGAGAAAATTGCTCGCTTTATAATTGGATTCCCCGTTGGCAAGGTCTTGGTCAATTTAGAGGATTCACATGGGAACAATTTATTACATATCGCAGGTCAATTGGCTTCTAATGCTCAACTTTCTCATATTTCTGGTGGTGCTCTACGGATGCAAAGAGAGATACAGTGGTTCAGGGTATGCAACGAAAATCAATAGTTTTTATTAATCATAAATTATGGTACTTAGGAATATATACAAGGATAGTCCAACCACATAAAATTCTCTATATAACAAGTATTAAGAGTTGCAAATTGCCAAAAGCACATTAGGAGTTGAGTACAATATATTTAAAACACAATAGTAGCTCTACTGAAAACAAAAATGTAATATTGTAAAGGAAATCAACATTGGTCATCTTGTTATTGAGATGAACTAGAAACCAAAAACACTGCCCAACAAAACATTCCTTCCCATCTTCAGAATCTAAATTCACTTGAGCCTCTTCCAATCCATTGTAGGATTCTTCTTTACATTTTGCTTAATTCCTTTCTAATAATTAAATTAAATTAGGTTTTACTGTTATTTTACTTATGTTAGGTCATCAATCAAAGCCTTTAAAAAAAAAACCCTTTTTGTCTAT